TGCACTCAAAGCCCATGCCTTATTAAAGAACCAGTGACTTTTAGTCAGTCACCACTAAATGCCTATGTGCTACAGAAGTCTTTCATGAATCTTAGTAAATTTGTATTTCTAGAAGCGGACAAGAAGCCTGGCAGTTCAAACCCATCAGCCACTCCTTGGGAGGAAGATGAGGCTTTCTGGCCCTGTAAAGTTTTATAGCCTTCAAAACCAGAGGGGACAGTCAATCTCTGTCCTATTGGATTGCTATGAGTTGGAATTAACTCAATGGCAGTGTGGTTTTCTGGGTTTTATAATAGCGAGACCTATCAAAAGAAACAAAATATTTCCTATCCACAGGAATTTTCAATTTAAAAAAATATATAATGCTTAAGAATATTCAGTGCAAGGGAGTCACGTGATACTTTCAGGGGGGATATTACATAGTGTTGATAAAACAGCAAGCAGGACCCAGATCATGGAAGCCTAAATGCTAAGTCTGGAAGTAATGAAATGACAACATTAGAACTATGTTTGGGGGAGATATAGAATCATGGACCAGGAGCAGGTTCAATTAGATCTAACGGATTCATTTCATGGATTTTTCTGGCTACTGCCTCTCACTGAATAATAACTTTAAAGAATTATTCAAAGTGAGAATTCTACCAATGGCATTATCTTAACACAAGCCTATGATCAAAGCATAGTTAATTTCTTTTTTAACAATAGACAATTTCAATTTAAGAAGACGTTAATGATGCGTCCTGTGATGGATCCAATTTTCTTCTAGATCAATACTGTTCAACAGAAGTTTCTGTGGTGAGAGAAATGCTGTGCTGGCCAATATGGTAGCCACCAGTCATATCAGGAAGTTCTTGGGTGACATAAAGTGAGTGTTCCACTGCTTACTAGCACTTTGAACCCAGCCAGGCCTTTGAGAGACAGGCACGGTGATGTTTCAAATGCTCGAACACCTACGTAACAGTTCTCCTCTGCACAGGTGGGGTTGCCACAAGTCGGAACCAGCTTGATGACAACTAACAAGAAGGCACAGAGAGTAGAAATGGGGTTAAGGGACTACGGAACTGAATTTTTATTTGCCTGTTAAGTAATTTAGAGAGTCTTACGTGGGTAGCGGATACTGAAATGAAGAGTACAGTGCAGTCTAGATAGCCTTCAATCACTCTTCCAGCTCTGAGAACCACAAAGCTTTAGAAGATCCCACCAGTCTCAACAATTCACTGATTGTTCCCAGAGAGTAGCTAGTTTACCTTTAATACACACTCATGTGATGGAAAAGGGTCCAAATATCATCCGCCTTATTTTTTTTGGTACAGGGACTCAATGTTCTATGTTTTTTGGTCCATATAATGGATCTTCTACAGATAGACACAGCATGAAAAGGAAAAAAATGCTGCATTTACACATTTCCCCAAATCAAATCAAATAGATGTCACAGAAAGGGCATTAAAATTGAGAGTTCAAGTACTTTGGTTTTATATATATATATACTTACCCCTATCATGTCATGACTTCAGGCTAGTCAATGGCTAACTATGGTATTTAGTTTTCTCAAATAAAGTTCGTTGCTATAGTTCAGTGATTTCTAAGATCCTGTCATGTCTGTGACTTGACTCCAGATTGTGATCAATGCCATCATGATCAGGTCTGGAAACTCTTGCACACTTTCAAACTCTAAGCCATTTTTATATTACACCGTGGTTGATTTATTGGGCCACTTACTGTCGCTTAGATTTGTATTCTCTTATTTTGTCCACAAAAAGTTTCTGTATAGGATCAAGTTCCTTGAATGCCACAGCTGTAACACCAATGTTCCTCCGCACATGGACTGCGACTGCTGACCGAACAACAGAGGAAAACCTGAAGAGCCTCTGGAGAACCATGGCGACTCTGTTACTGGAAACAAGCACCAGAATGTTAACATGCTTTAAAACACCTCTTGTAGAATACTTCGGACATACTATATGATGGAGAGCTAACGCTAACTGTTAAAGAACAAGTCACGTTAGAACTCAGTCTAGAGTGGAGTGCTGGCAACAGTTACTGCCCACAGCTCCCACTTGCTTTCTCAGTTACAGTTCTTTGGCTTCTTGGCCAAAAGGCCCTACCTAAGAAGAGAACTTAGGCACATGCTTCAATAGTGTAAAGGTCAAAAGAAAGCACCAAATTTGATGTGTTATGGTTCTTCACCCATAAACTTGATTTGGGACTACAGCAAATCATAGCACAAGGTTGTTTAATTCCATTTCCCCAGGAACTTTTGTCTAAATTTAATAATGGTAAGGAATTAGGACTTGTATTTGATACATTCTTTGTGCTCATTTTCCTAGGAATTCATTTTCCATTGCAGTGTATCCTCCAATAGTCGTTGAGGATTTAAAAAGACCAACAGGACCAAGTAGGAAGCTGGTAGAGTGGCCGTGATTCTCAAACAGGAATGGGGTAAAGAAAGGGGCAGTTTAATCCACAAGGAGCTGTTTGGCAATGTCTGATCACATTTTTAGTTGTTACTTGGATGAGTGCTATTGACTTCTAGTGGATTGAGGCCAAGAATGATGCTGGGTAGTCTCCAAGTATCCAGTCCAAAATGCCAAAAGTTCAAGGTTAAATAATCCTGGACAGCATATCAAAACTACCAAAAGAAACACTCCAAACAACACGATATTCTTCACCTAGCAAGGTGAACACACACACAACACACAAATCATAGTACTTTTCTTTACCCTGCCAGAGTATCCATGGGGAAAAACTTGAAACAAATAATTTAGAAAGTGACTCTTATAATTGTACCCAAACAGAAACTAAGGTTCAGAAGTTAATTATTTGGTCCATAGTCCCTTAATGGTTGGATCTGACTCAAATACAAATAGAAAAATAAAATATTGTGCAAGTCAATTTATACTTACCCTTTTGGCAACCTAAGAACACACTTGACACTCAGCAGTAAGGCAACCTTTTTTCAGCCCTAAGTGGGTTACATGTTAGGCTGCTAAGCACAAGGTCAGCAGTTCAAAACCACAAGCCACATCGAAGGAAAAAAAAAACAGGCTTTCTGCTCTGTAAATAGTTAAGTCTTGGAAACCCACAGGGACAATTCTACCTGAACTATGAGGTCACTATAAGTTGTAAAGGTCTCAATGGCAGTGATCCTGCAAAGTACTCTTACAGTCACACTCGTAGCGATGTTATCCTTCATTTACAAAGGACAAAACAGTCTGAAAAAGGTTAAATTGGCTGTATCCCCAATTAGCTCTAAGGTAATAACAACTGCAAAGACCAGCCATCTACACAATAATATGGGGAAATCCATTTACATTGTTTTAATTATTTATATATCTTGAAGTCAACTCAATGGTATCTAGCAACCAACAACAAAAAACGAGTGCTAATGATTTCCAAATCACATCTCCAATTTTGACTTTTCGTCTCCTCCTAGGTTCTTTAGGACGCAACTGCAATGTGACCAAAAAATGAATTCATCTCTCAGTATTAAAACTTGTCCCTGCTTTTTTTCTCCTAGAGCATATGAATATGTAATGTGTGGACCGTCTAATGTCACAGATAAGGAAGATGTTATTATACAAATCAATATGAAGCACCACTGGGATAAATTCTTGGTGGTACTGTGGGTTAAGCGTCGTGCTGCTAAACACAGGTTCAAACACACCCATCCTAGAACGGACAAAGATGAGTCTATCTGCTCTGGAAGGTTTACAATCTAAGAAACTCCAAGGCAGATACTCCTTTGTCTTATACAGGGTCACTATGACTAGAAATCGACTTGATGGCAATGGATTTATGCCACGAGAAGCATACTGAGGAAAGTTCCTCTACTACTTTAAGTATGAGAGGGTAATAAACGAAAGGATTACAAAGGGTACACCATGTGCAGGGGTCTTGTTGGACAATAAGGTTTTGGCATTTTCAAAGACGATTGAAGGCAAAGAGTAGTGCCTTTACTGCCTCTTAGGCACGTGTTCACTGAGGTTAATTCACAGAGCTAACTATACATACGCACATTCAACATTTTTAACAGGGATGCATAACTTTTATAAGTTCACCCTTCTCCCTCCCTCTTAGGGTGCCGATGTATAATGTGCCCCGTGGGTCGACTGGAAGGACCCAGCTGCAGACCTGTCCCGAGCGCTGGTCGAGCCAGGCTTCAGCGTCAAGACCCCCTGCATCTCTGAAATCCCCTCTGTTCGCCCTCAGGGTAGGCACTATCAGGATTATCTATTGAGCCAGAGAAGCTTCGGGGCCTAAGAGCGCCGAGGTCATCGTGACCTCGGACCAAGCCGAAAAGGTGCCCAGGACGTAGGGCTGCTCTCTCCTCCTCTAGGGCAGGGGTAATAGGCAGCCCAGATCCCGTGAAGAAACCCAGAATCAAAGTCCCAAGAGACCAAGTTGGTTCAACTACCCTCCCAGTCACCTTGCACTTCAGTCCCGAGCTGCCAGAGAAACACCGCCGCGGCCGCCGTCCTACTTCCGGCTCTAGCTCCACCCCACCCTCCCCGCCATCGCAGTGCATCATGGGACGTCGCAGCACTCGGTCGGTACTCACCGGACAGGAAGCGTCTCGAAGACGACAGTCTGCGACCGGACGGCTCTAGGTGAGACAGAAGCCAAACAGGAGGAGGAAGTGGAGGGTAAGTGCTTCCGGGTCTCTTAGCGAAGTCTCCGCCATCTTCCCTATCCCTAATTTGACCTGCTTTTTTCCTCTTGGACAGCTTATTCTGTACGCATGCGCGTTTTATGGGCTTTTCTCCCGGATGAACCCCCACCGGGAGTCGGCAGCCTTCTTTTTTTTTTTTTAAGTTTGTTGAGAAGTACGAATGTATGGGGAAAACGGAAAAGTGTAAATAGAAAAATTAGAGCGTTGTATTGTTTTGGGCCTCGTGCGCCTCCGTTGCTTCGGGCGTTCCTTTCGCGCACCCTGCTGGGAGTTGTAGTCCGGGACCGGGGGTGCCTGGGAACCGAGCGGGGGGGTTAGGGTTTCTCAGCGCCGATTCCGCGGGAAGGGCCCGTGGGCCTCGCACTCGAGTCTTGAGAGGTGCAAGTCTTACCCGGAGAGACACTGCACGCGGAGTCGGGGCCGCAGCCGTTCTCAGCCGGCTCTGGAGCGCGGGCGGGGGCGATAGGGCGGATTCGGAGCCGGTGAGTTGCGGCGGCAGGGGAGGAAGGGAGCGCGGGCCCGCGCGGGCTGGCCTCGTTCCGGGGCCTTCTCCCCCACAGCGGCCCCCCCGCGCCCGCCTGTGTGTTTTGTTTCCGCTGGTCCCCGGCTCTGTGACTCCCATTTCCGTTCGTG